TCCTTTGTGCTCTTTGCGGTAAAGTTCTTTCTTTGTCATGATAAGAGTTGTCCTGTAATCACTATTTCATTCTCTTTTTTATTGTTTAGCCATAACACACGGACAATGCAGACGTGAATTTGTTAGTGTACTTGTTTTTCTCTAATTTAACAATATCAGCATACTTTCTAACTTTCTTTAAACGTTATATTTGCAGTGTTTTGATGGATTCTGTTGTCCAGGTTATATCTGTTGTAAGAAAGGATGCTATAATCCCAAAGTCAACTTAATCAATTGTGGAAAATGTGGCATTGTTGTGCGTAGTTATTTTTCTATATTTTAATAATGTTGACATTATTTTCTAACTTTCGTTAAACGTTACATTTGCAGTGCAAAGCTCCAACTTCCGAATGTTGTAATGGTAAATGCGTAGATCCCCAAACTTTCCAAACTGACAAAAATAACTGCGGAAAATGTGGAACCAAAGTGTGTACTGTATTTGCTTTTCTCGAATTTAATAATATTAGCATACTTTTTAATTTTTTAACAAAAATTATATTTGCAGTGCAATGCTCCAACTTCCGAATGTTGTAATGGTAAATGCGTAGATCCCCAAACTTTCCAAACTGACAAAAATAACTGCGGAAAATGTGGAACCAAAGTGTGTATTTGCTTTTCTCGAATTTAATAATATTAGCATACTTTTTAATTTTTTAACAAAAATTATATTTGCAGTGCCCTATCGGTGCAACCTCCTGTCAAGCTGGAGTATGTATGTGTCCTACAACATTGAATTTAAAAGTCTGCTAATAAATTTAATAATATAATTATGGGGTAGATTTAGTATCAACCAAGAATGAACTGTAGTCGTAGATCTTCACTCTCTAATAATGTATAAGTAAAATTCTTAGTTGTCTTGATTGTATTTTAGACTTCAACTTATCTTTATATAATTCCGAATTTCAATTCTATTTGCTTATATAATTAGTTTCTTTCTATAATCAATATTTATTCAATAAAATATTAGTTGTCTTCATACATGTATATTTGTTACTAGTTTGGTGGTGGCGCTTTGCATCACCTATCTTATTCAGTAATTTATTAATAAAGATTAATAAACACTTTTAAGAAATACCAGCAACGTAGTGAAACGAAGTGTATGGTTTACAGCCAACTAACTGCGTACAAAATCTCGAACTTCATTGGACAGCGTGATTATTGTATGTGCATCCTTTTTTGCGATCACGTTAAATAATTATTTTTTTTTAACACAGTAAAACGACGCACTTATGTTTGTGAAACTTGACTTGTCTAAATTTGTTTCCTTTTGCTCTACTTACGGTGATTAGCTAATGTTTGATATCTTATTTAAGCGAAAAATTGCATAAAAAAGGCGAACCTCTGTATCACAAATTTCATCGCGTTGTATATAGTCTATTGCT